CACATCAGCCTTTACAGTATTTAAAGAGTGAACGTATCAGGGGAGGAAATGTGTCTAATAGCCGCATCACTGCTTGGACTTTGTCTTTGCAAGGGTGGCCTCTTGAAATTTGTTATAAACAGAACAAGAAAAATCCAGTAGCCCAGGGCCTAGCTGAACTCCATGATTGTTCCGCAACTACGCCTGCTACGGAGGCCCCGGAACACTGACTTTTTTGGAAGAACAAGTGTTATGTTCCTACAAGGTTTATGATGAAGAATACTGTAAACAGCTGCCGTGTATATATATGTAGATGGTTGTGCTTTCCACCACAAGGATAGAGAATAGCTCCAACTAGTGGCAGGTATTGGAATTGTTTGGACCCAAGGGGGTTTATTTACAAAGCTGGAGAGTCCAAAATCAGACTCCCTTCTGCATAGAAACCAATCAGCTTCTAACCTCAGCTTGTTCAATGAAGCTTTGGCAATGAAACCTGGAAGCTGATTGGTTTCTATGCAGAAGGGAGTCTGATTTTGGACTCTCCAGCTTTAGTAAATATAAACCCCAAGGTGTCACCCCAATGTCTGTGGGATACAAACTTGGACCAAAAAGCAGTCAGGTTGCTGAACTCACTGCAATCCTAACAGCAGTTAAGATGGCTATAGAGTTCAACATAAAATAATGTGCCATCATAACTGATTCCAATTATGTCAGGAATAGTTTTGTGGAATATTTCCCTAGGTGGAAACGAAACAACATGACAAAGAGCAATCACAAACCCGTAAAACATGGTAAGCTCTTTTGTCAGATCGATGAGCTGGTGAGATCCAATGAATTAACCCTTTATTTCAAAAAGACCAAAGGCCACTCCAAGGTCCTAGGTGCTGAAAAAGAAAGAAACGATTTGGCTGATTCTCTAGCCAAGGAAGGAGCAATCACCGGTGACTTACTAGACATAGATCATCTCTTAGGTACCGTGCAGATTGAAGCTATCACCAGGCAACAGGCCAGAACAGCTGGTGATCCTAATGTGTTACAGTGGTGTCACGATTCTCCTAGTGAGGATTTAATTACTGCCCAAAAAGAAGACCCAATAATTGGCTTATTTTACAGACATATAGAAGATTCCAAACAAAATCCCATTAAATCAGGAAATATGTACTGGGAAAGAGGATTTACGTATTTTAATGAAATCCAAATCCCAATTCGCTTTGTACCAGGGATTGTTGATACGAACCTCAAAGGGTGGTATCCAACAATGGGTCGTCCCACTTAAATTTAGAGGTTTAATGTTACAGCATGCCCATGATGCTCCTACTTCCGGCATCGTGGAGAGAAGATCACATATGAGATCCTGCGGGATTATGCTTACTGGCCTCATATGTTACATGACGTGAAGGCGTACTGCCAAGGTTGCCTAATATGTCCCCAGTTTCAACCTACTAAACCAACTCATAGAGCACCTCTCCAGAAAAAGGGGGATATGTATGCCTTGGTCAGACCTTTAAATGGATTTTATTGGGCCCGTAACAAAATCTTCACGAGGAAATCGATATATGTTAACAGTTACATGTTTATTTACCAAGTAAATAAAAGGAAAAAGCTGCAATTAGTGCTAAGACATACTATGATCTCAAAACCTCCAATAAGGAATATGAGATTGGGGACAAGGTCTATCCATACAACTTTGCAAGAGACCAGATCAAGGAACGGAAATTCCTTCCGTCGTGGAAAGGTCCATTTTCCATTGTTGACAAGATTTCTCCCGGTGGCGTATAAATTACATATTCCCTGGAATGTGAAATCAGTGAGAGATGGGTGCACATCAATCAATTACGTGCTTGCCATCCAAAGTCTCAATTGCAGTTGTTGGAAGACTAACCCACCAGTTCCTAGCTGGAGATATTGGAATCATTATGGAATTTCCTCTATAACATTTTTCATTCACCTTTTGCCTTACAGGATCAAGTCATATAATATTCTGTGTATCCAGTACTTAAACTGTTCGTTTTCCATAATTTAGTAATGAAGGCCCAGACGATGACCAGCCCCCCGGCGATAGAAGGAAGGAAGCTAAGGTAGCTACCTGATGTCCTGTGGGAAAGACCAGACACCAGCGATCGATCCGGAGACGACAACCTGAGGTCCCAGACCACTAAGGCCCAGTCCAGAGGAAGAAACCCGCCTATGAGACAGTCCCAAAGACCAGTCATGCAGAGGATCCTATGGAACCTGATGTGGGTGTGCCCGCCAGGCCGGCCTCATCGCAAAACCAGGATTGTTGTCAGGAATATTCGTCCAAGGAGCGCCCGAGTTCAATTCACAGATAAACCCAGCATCACTGCTGCCATTTCATCATTAAGAGACTACTTAATTCCGAAAGTACCATCGGAAAAATGATCCTTTACCCAATCACACCATCTAAATGACTCTCAAGAATGCTAACTTATCAGTTGAGAACTTTGATGTCACCGGAGAAGATCAACGGTCACTTTGATCAAAAGTCACACTAACAATTTGCGAAACATACACCTATTTTACATGTCCGTCTCCCAAAAAAGGGGGATATGTAATGACTTTTGGGGACTATTTCTTAAAAAAAAAAGAAAACCAAAACATTATATTATTTCAAATTGGGAATCCTAGCTGACTGTGAGAGGTTAACCTCCTTGATTGATCAACTGCAGGTGACCTTCCAGGAGCTACCATAACCAATGAGGGAAAAAGCTTGTTCAAGACACAATATCACTATTTGAATTTCTACAGGTGATCAAACAAAGTACCAGAAAATTACAATGGTGGTATCTGATTCTGGTTATTCCAAGACCTTGCAGATGTATGTCATCTAAACAAGTACCATTGTCTATGGGAAGCTAGGAGTTACTTCAATTGCAGGAAAATCAATTATAGAGAGTCAAACATCTCACAAAACCTTGGAAGTGTGGATTCCCAAACAAGACTTTTTGAGCCGACAATATACTATTATTCACTGAGGTCAAAATATAACTGGCTGTTTACCCTAATTCCCACACAATAAACAGGTAAACAGAGGGTTTTTCCTCCTCATTGGAACCTCATGCCTTAAACAAGAAGGTGAAACTTAGGTCATCTAAAGCTGATAACTTGATATATCTACCCACAGAGACATTATCAAAAGGCATATTACCAACACTTTTTATCAAGGGAAAATATCTTTGAGAAGGTTAGGTATTGCATTCCACTCAACTAAGTTTGAAGTGATGAAGCAGAAGATTATTTGTGAATTGGGGTAAATTTTATATTTCCAAAAGAAATCAGCTATTCCAATACAGTTAAATATCAGGAAAAATGAGAAACCAAATGTATTTACATCTTTCTATGGTCCTTATCCAAGAGTTAGTAGTGAAATCAACTGTACTTGAATAGGATATATATTTGATACATAAAGAGATTTTGTTTCTATCAAATGATGAGTCATCATTAAGACCACCAATTCATTTGTGATACCGGACTGTCTCCAGTGGACAGGTGGATACGTAACTTCTCAACCATCCAATCATCAAGTCTGTTGGGAGGTCTTTTCGGAACAATGGAATTGGATGAAATAAAATGCCAAACACCAAAAACTCAAGAGAACTCACAAACTGATGAACTCACTTGCTCACCTGATCACTTCAAGACTTTTAATAATCACTTCACTTCTTCTGAAAGACTGCTACTACTTCTAGATAACTTCTGAACTTAATCTTCCAACTATTTCTTCACTACTCCTACCACTATATACTGCACTATACTCACTTGCTACCTGCGGCCATTTTGCTGAGAACTTCCAGCTGCCATTTTGAAGGAAGAGAGTTCCACCAGAGACGCTGATGCTCAGTTAAATTTTGGGAGTGGTGAGACTGCTAGATAATATTTTCTTTGATATTTCAACTTTCTAAGACTTATAACATTTATTGTGTGTTTAGGAATATATTAAGGTTTTATATAATTATCACAAAAAAATTGTTTGATTTTGGTATCAAGATTATATATTGCATATTAACTGATTTGTAGTTTTGTTGTAGTGCAATTTATCAGAGAATACTTTCTTATATTCCTATGGCCACGGAATATGAGAAATACTTTCTGAAGCACTATAAGATTAATCCCTCAAAATTTGGGTTTTTCTTATATTTACCATTATCTGAAATCATATATTGTTTGATCATATAGAAATTAGCATATCATATTTTTGATTGTGTGTACAAGTATACATTTATCACCAGTATTTTGCGTTTGTATTAATATATATATACATTTTGTACATAAATTTATTTATCAAAAAGGCAAATTTTGTTTATATGGTACGAAATCATATTGGTAAAAGAATTCAAGGTATATTATTAAGTGGTGATCAAATATATTAAGGTGTCCAAGTTATTGGTTCATTAAACATTTGCCGTATTAACACGGCTGGGGGCACTGCGATATTTTGTTTAAGGGAGAGGACACCGCCATACATATTTAGAATAAATTATTACATAAACCACCACAACACGATCTGTCCAATTAATGGACATTTTTAAAAAACCCTGTTATACAAACAGGTGTTCGCACTGGGCACACTTGCATGTTAGCCCAAAAAATCCAACCATTACTTAACGAGCTTGGCCGGAGGAATGCCTTGACATGTACAAATGCTCCCCAATCAAATCATAAATGGTCAAATTGGGTGTATGTTTTCTGTAGCGATCCTAAACACACAGGTTCTAAACTTCTACCAAGTACAGTACTATGCAGTAAACTATCCCATCACATCAGTATAAAAATATAGCAAAATAAAAAATTATGATGAAGAATTTTTAGTCATTGAAGAAAATCAAAAAAGGTTGGTTTGGCAAACTATACAAAATGTTGGTGGTACTGTAAATAAAAGGCAACAGTGAGATATACGGTGGCCTACACCATGGGGACACATGATAAATTATTGGGGTTTAGAAAGGCTTAACATACAGTTTCAGTCACATATGTTGAAAAAGTTGATCAGCATTCCAACATACCTGCTCAAGTTATTGGGTTGTGGCAAATCGGTGCTGAACCTAATTTCACCTGACATCTCCTCATAAGCATAGATGTGCTTAGGATCCTTCTTCTTGATCTTTTCGTGCCTAGTACAAGACAAATGAAGTTGTATATTAGAATATCCAGGCTATCAGACAGCTTTAAATACAGTCACAGTAAGAAGAGTGTATAGCACCTGCACTCTGATTACCAAGCGAACTATGCAATTAAAATGCTTCTGTAACTAAAGTTAAATTGGATAAAATTTAAATGAAATTTCACTTCTGTTACACATGTGAGGAGCAAATTGATATGACACCTTTCTAGAAAACAAGCAGCCTAAAGCAAAAAAAACAAAAAAAACAAAAAAACCAAAAAAAACCTAAAGCTGAACTCCAGGTTAACAGGTAAATACACAGATGAAACAGTCTCCTAGATCTGCCTGGAATTCAGCTTTAAATGAGATCTGCAAGGAAGATAGCGCATTCCCTGTCCTATTAGTAATGGACAGTCAACAGTGGCTTTGATCGCCTCCCGCTATATACATTTTTTAAAAAAATATAGTACATTTGCATCTCTACTATCAAAAAAATAGAATTTATTTAGATTTTCAGTTAACCGCTCCCTGACCGCCCTATAGCAGAACCACTGCTACAGGGCAGCAGCGCTGCGCGAAATCACGTACACATACGTGATTTTGCATTCCCGGATAGGGGGCTCGCGCCACGCTCCCCTCACCGCCATTGGCGGCTACAGCTGTCGATCACCGGGTCCTGGCTGGAGATTCCCCACTGGCACCCGGCGATCGCCGAGAAACACTGACAGGAGAGAGGTCTGTATGTAAACAATACAGATCTCTCCCGCTCACAGCACCAGCATGCTGCTTTGTGTTGCTCTGCATAGCAGAGCAATACAAAGCAGCATGCTTACATAGTAAAACAGCACACAGATGTTAACCCCTTCCTGCCCAGTGTCATTAGTACAGTTCCAGTGCTTTTTTATTAGCACTGATCACAGTATTAGTGTCACTGGGGATGTCAGTGGCAGTTAGTTCCCCCCCAGTGTCAGAATGCCCGCTGCAGTCCGTCTATAAGTTGCTGATCGCTGCCATTACTAGTGTATATATATATATATATATATATATATATATATATATATATTATATATAGATATAGTGACAGTGTGGCAATATGTCACAATGTGGAAAGGTTATTTCACCCAGGATTCTCAACAAGGCAGGTTGAGAGGCTCCGGGGTTTTGATACAAAGGAAAGTGGATTTTCACTTTCCTCATTTGTTTGTAAGGTCCATTTTGGGACCTGGAGCCTGGAGATTTCAAAGCGATTTGGGAGGGATGAAATCTCCAATCCTGGGACCAGGTTTTGGGAATGGCCAGGAGACTGATTGGGCATGTGTGCCTCGCTCTCTTCTAGAGTCAGGACCAGAGTTCTGGGCTCCACCCTGGCAGACGGAGTCAGGAGGGCTCCACCCTGGCAGACAGGAGGTCTCTGCCTTGGGAGTCAGGAGGGCTTCACAAAGGAGAGGTGGAAGCCAGACTAGCTGTGTGCTAGTGGGCAGCTGTGTACGAGAGCCATATTTTGGGAAGAGCCTGCAGGAGACAGACGTAAGCCTGAAGAGAAAGGCCAGAGGAAGATTGTTTATATCTGAGAGAGCCAGGAGGCTGAATCTTTTTTCGTTTATATTGATGATAGATACCCATGCATGGGAAACCTCTTATGTTATTGAACTGTCATTTAAATAAAAGTGGGCTGAAAAGGCCCCTAAAAAAAAAGCAAGCAAGTTGCTGTGTGCGTTACAAAAAATATATATATATAATTATATATATATATATATATATATATATATATATACATATATATATATATATATATACACATATATATATATACACACACACACATCACACATATATATATAATACATACATACATACACACATACAACACACACAGTGCCGTTTGTAGACGCTATAACTTTCACGTAAACCAATTAATTTACACGTATTGGGATTGTTTTTTTTTTTTTTTTTTTTTAGCAAAGACATATAGCAGAATACATTTTGGCCTAAATTCATGACAAAATTTGATTGTTTAAAATTTATTTACTGGATAAATATTCTAAGAAAAAAGTCAAAACTATAGTTTTTTTTTTTTTCAAAATTGTCAGTCTTTTTTTGTTTATAGCACAAAAAATAAAAAAAATGCAGAGGCGATCAAATACCACTGAAAGAAAGCTCCATTTGTGGGGGGGGGGGGGGGGGGGAAAAAAAAAAAAAAAAAAGGACACAAATTTCATTTGGGTGGTTAAAGAAACTCCTCTTTTGGGTCATTTGTTTTGCTACCTGAGAGATAAATTAGGTTTTCCTTTTGAATGTCCAAGTTGAAATTACGGATACTGACTCACTGTGACCAAGCTAACCTAAGTTCACCTCAATTGTGTAAAAACAACACCTCTACAGCAAAGGAAATTTCAGCAGATTGCTCACCAAGTGAAAGGTTGCATGTTATGCAGAAATGGCCTGAAGCCAGCTATACATTCAAAAACCATTGTACCAAAGCTCCAGTAATCCACTGTTACGCTGTATGGCTTGTTTTCAAAGAGTTCTGGAGCCTACAGTTAAAAGGAAAAGACATAAACAGATATAACATTATAAAGCATTAAATGGTAACAGTTTCTCTATCTTTACCAAATGTGATGTCTTTGTAAAGGCACCATAAAGTGCTATCTCTCAAAACATCTGGAAAACACCTCTATATGACATACCAGCTCCCAATTCAGGATCTGAATTGGACTTTCAGAGAAATGTTTAGACATACACTGATCAGACTCTTCCCCCATTCACAGACTGTGTTACAAGAGGTGTAATAATTGAAAAAACGTTTCTGAATAGGAGGAGACGGCAGGAGGGGCACATCCCCATCCCAAAACGGTTAACTGTTATGATGTCTAAGTTCAACAGCAGAAAGAGGATATGGCAGCCCTGCAGTGAAGATTCTGACAGAATCCAATAGCCTGCACATTGTGGGTCATTCATTATAGGTAAGTACTATAATTAAAAGATGTGGAGAGAAAAAAAAAAAAATAACCTTCAGATCTAATTTATTATCTGTAAAAAGACCACATATATAGGAAAAAAAACCCACAAACAACTAAAGTCTTGGCTAGATATAATGTACAGTATATATTATAATCACACACCTAAATCAGCAGTATCAACAGACCACACTAAGGATTAAAGTATAACTAAAAGGCAAAACTTTTGGTCACTCATTATGGACAGAGTGGAGATGGATTAGAACACCAGGTTTTATTACTATCTGTGCCCTCGTTAGGGAGATTCACCTTCTCTATCTGTCCTGTTTACCATTATCATAAAAAATGAAAGTAAAAAAAAAAATCCCACATTTTTGGTTTGTTCCCAGAAAAGTGATAGAGGGGAAATCTGCCAATAGGGATACCAGTTCTGGTGACCTGGGGGTCCCCAAGAAATTCCCTTAATTTGCAGGGATTTCCTGTCACTTCCTGTTTTGGCTCTGGGACAGGAAGCGAAAGGAAATCTCCCCAAATGGGACACAGATGGCAAAAAATACACTGACAGGGGGTTATAACCCTCCCTTAACTCTATCCAACTTAAAAAAAAAAAAATAGTTCTACTTTAAAAAAATTTACAGGTAAATAGCTGGAATTAAAGTGTTATTTAAAATAAAAACTGCACTATTTTCTGTTATATCAGTTCTAGATAATACCACATACCAAAGCGATAGGAAGTTTCAGACTGGTCACACTCTCTACATGACACTAAAAAAAACTATGGAGCAAAAAACGAAAGCCACCACTGCATATGAGCATTACATAGAAGCCTACCATTTCTGGGATGCCTGCTATATGCAATTTGTCTAGTAGTGGTAGAAGTGTGATCCTAAAATTTACCCTGGAATACGGATCTACCTAAAATCATATAAATGGTGCACTGTAAAGTATTCATCTTTCATAATGTTGCTACTATCAATTAACAGACTGTACAAATTTCAGCATCCATCATTACAAATCCTAATGAAAATGTTATCATATAAAAGTTATTCAAAGTTTTAAAGTCGAGTCAAGTTAAAATATGTGGAATTCATTATGAATATGTTCTGTAGTACAGTGCTCCATTTAATGATTTTAGAATGATAAAGCATTACATGGCTAAGGAAATATAAAAACAGCCAGTACCCTCTAGAAATGTATTGATTTAAATGTATCAATGGCATCTTAAAAAATAGTACTGTACGATTCACAGCCATCTCAAAGTTTATTTCCAGACATACCCCAAAACACCTAAATACAGGGATACTTGATTATGTAAGTGAAATTTGAAGGTTGTATTCTAGCTTGTCCCTACTGTGACCGCGTATGAAATTTACGGGGAGATTTACTAAAACTGGTGCAGCTCTGCATGATAACCAATCAGCTTCTAATGTCAGCTTGTTCAATTACGCCTCAACTATAAAACCTAGAAGCTGATTTTACTCTCTCCAGTTTTAGTAATTAACCCCCTTATTGTCCAGTATGGAAGAGTGAGGTGTGATACAGAGTGTGACCGTCCAAGCTTGCTCAAAACCTGGCATAATGGAGAGCTCAGGTTTGGGGGGTGCTCATGGGGTGGTGTGACACTAAACAGCAATACAATCCAGGAGCTGCTTATTATCTTTCTAAACACTACAGTTTAGCTTGAAGAAAACTTGCTGCATCCAGGCTCAGAGATCTGTCCCTAACTTCAGTTAACTGCTCTGTGTGTGGCTACATGCAAACAGCATTCGGCTACATGCTGCTGATCGCATTCAATCCAGCAGAAAGAATCTGCCAACTCTTGCGACAGCAACCCGGCTGTCTGAAAAGGGCTTAAAAACAGTAAAAAACTCTGGAGAAATGAAAAACTGCATAACAATGCACACATAAATCTGTATGAGAAACTGTAGCCTGCTACATAACTATGATGACAGTTTATCTAGCAAGTTAAAATGGAAACATTAAGATTGTACACGGCACGTTATCTGAATGGCTTCAGAGATCACAAATTATTCAATGGAGCCAAATAATGTTTATCTATACCTGCCCAACTGTATTATGAGCAGCTTAATGCCACTCATGGGATTACTTCTGTAAACTAGGATCATTAATGGCAGTCAAGAATCCCTCCACGTGTGGTCTAAATTAATTAAAACAGAAAACAACTGTATACGTACCAGATACTGTAAGGTCCCTACAAATGATGTACAAAGGCTTCCTTGATCTAGATCCTTGGCATAACCCAGGTCTATAATTTTATGCACAGTCTAAAAGTACAAGTAATGAGAAGAATTTACAGATGTTGCAATGTCAAACACTTTTTTTTTTTTAAACCATTAAAACAATGAAAAATTAAATGAAACACATTATATTTGCAAACATAATTTTTATACATACATATATATATATATAAATAGTCCAGAACGCAACACCAGCGAAAAGCTTGGTTATAATATAGAATAAAATCTTTAATAACCACAGAGCAGTTGGCCACTTAAATAGGTCAGGGCACAACAAATCATACAGAATACAAGAACAAGGTTATGACTTCTCACCTTCCCACTGCAGTCCTGTAGCACAATATTTTCTGGTTTCAAGTCTCTGTGTATAATACGATTTTCATGCAGATACTGAATACCAGCACCTAAGAGCAGAAGATATTTTTTAATAAGAATTTATGCAAAGAGGAAGAAACTGTTTCCTAGGAAACAGACAGACAGACAGACAGACAGACAGACAGACAGACAGACAGACAGACAGACACACACACACACACACACACACACACAGATTGTTGCTTCTAGAAGAGGAACGACTTATGACATCACTGGTAAAGCCACAAGGCAGTGGGATTTAAGGTTTGCATTAGTTGCTTTCTGTATTTTAAAGTGCCAGGAACAAAAATGGGGGCACAAAAACAAACATTATATTGCAGCTTACCAATTCTTAGATGTGATGGCTGTATTAGTTTTCCTTTTTAGACTTTCTTCCTTCTATTTTCATCTGGTGATCGAGTTAGTAAGATTGTTGTTTTTCAATAGAACAAAAAACCTTTATCTCAAAAGGAAAGTAATAAAAACTTTTTGCTGTAACTGATTATAAAGTATTAGTGGGAGTTTGACTTCAATTTATTACTATATTTAAATGTGCTAGTACATCCAACATTCCCCTCCCCCAGATTGACAATGATGCTTTCCAAATATACCACCAGTGCTCCTTCAGAGTGGTGTCTGTTCAATACAGGAGGTGTGTTACTGGCCAGATCACCATTGTAAAACAAAGGGAACAAAGCCCAATAAAGAAAATTAATACAGCCACTACATCTAATGATTGCTAAGCTGCAACATATTAAATTTCTTGTTTGGGTTTAACACCCAGGGATATTGAATTTATAAGCGCCCAGGTCATGTAGTTCCGGGCGCCGGGCTAGTATATATTTTTTTTTTTTACCTTTTCCGGGTAAGCAGCAGGGCTCACCTGTCAGGTGAAAGCATTCAGGCAGCTGCGCTGCTACCCGATTGCTTTCACACAGTCTACAATGCCAGCCTCCGCAACCCCCCATCCTCTGTCTCCCGGGCTCCGCTTGCCCAACTGTGGGCCCAGGACCAGTTCAGCTTGTGCTGTTGCGTAGAGATGAGAGAGGTCAGTGGACACGTCCACTCCCCTCCCCTTCTTGTCCTGACCCGGAAGTGAAGTTATGATTTCACTTCCAGGTTCCCATTGACAGATTCCCGCCCATTGAAGCCGGGAAAGAATGTACTACAGTGTGATCTATCATGTTTGGAGGTTTTGTGTAATCTTCAAACCTAAAATGATTTTTTTAAACTTGTGTAAAAAAAAAAAAAAAAAAATGGCAGCGAAAGGGATAAAAGATAGGCCCGACACTCCCCTTTCAGGACGAGCACCAAATCGGTGCTCATTACACTGCAAGGTTCCTCTCCTCCGTGACAGTGCCCGGGTGCGGTGCTGGAGAGAGGCAGGGGGAGGAGGAGATAAACAGTGCAATGTTAAAAGTAAACATTTAAAGTCGCCATAAAGCTGCTTTTGATTTTAAAAGCACCTTTTAAATATGGTTTTGTTTAAAACATTTTTTTTTTATCTGGACAAGTAGATTGAACCCCAATTTAGTCTCTGGAGAAGGAGTTTTATACAAAAATTTCCACATCCCTGAATACCACTTTAACCACCTCCCCTCCAGCCGTTGTATATAAACGGACAGATAGTGGCAGTGCAGGGTCAGGTGGCTGTTTATAAATGGCTTCCCCGCCCCCTGCTTGTGCGCGCCCCCTGGGAGCGTGCAGCACCGCGATCCGGTGCCCGCTGTGTCCTCCGGACACAGTGGAACACTGATCGTCGTACGGGACCTCTGTGCGAGGTCCCGATCATGTGATCACTGATTGGCCAATCAGTGATCACATGCAGAGTAGTAAGCAAGATGTCACTTCTGACATCATTGCTTACTACGTGTGAAATCTGTGAATGATCACAGAAGTCACATGGTACAAGGCTATTCACAACAGCCTTGTATCATGTGACAAGCTGTGACCAATCACAGCTCACACAGTAGTTCTCAATGGCTGCAATAATGCAGCCAGAGACAAGGAGAAATGATTGCTTTTACAGCCTTTATGGGTGTAAAAGCAATCAGTGTAAAAAAAAAATAAATTAAAAAAAAAATTATATACATATACACACACTATATATATATATATATATATATATATATATACATATATACACACACACACACACACACACATGCATACATACATACATATAACTTCATCACCCCCCACAAGTAGTACAGTGTCACCATGGTGACACTGTACTGCTAGTGTGCCAGTATGTATTTAAAAAAAAAAAAAAAGGTTTAAAAATTTTGGACTTTCATTTACATAGCAAAAAAAATAAAAAATCCCAGTGGTGAATAACTACCACCAAAATAAAGCTTTATCGGTCTCAAAAAAATGCTAAAAAATTCATATGGGTACAGTGTTGCATGACCGTGCAACTGTCATTCAAAGTGTGATAGCACTGAAAGCTGAAAATTGGCCTGGACAGGAAGGATGTAAAAGTGTCCAGACTTGAAGTGGTTAAAAATGTGGAGTTGGGCTTTAGGACATTTATAACCAAAGCCATGTCCTAAAGTTGTTACATACCTATATCACTTATTATATTCAAAACTTGGCTTTCCTTCAACCCACAGCAGTTTTCTGGCTTGCTTAAAAGCTGGAAATAAGCAAACATAATCAGGACTGAATGGTGCATTCTTAATAAAAAGATATTTCTGCTTAATTAAAAACGGAACATACTACTAAAGATTATCAGTTCTATATTTTGTAGCTTCCCCTACTCCCAGCGCTCCACCTCAGGGCCTGTGATAACGGCTATGGGATTTTGCCAATGGCATATGTTTGAGATGCCTCTGGAATCATTCAGAACTCATTGACAGGTGCATTTAACTTCCTTCTGACCTACAGTATATTTGACCTGCTTCAAGCAGGTTTTACATACACATGTATTTGTATGCAAAACCTGTCTGACATGAGCAAAAGCGCATCAACACAGGCCCTTATACTTGCCTCTCACTGATCCAGCAAGAGATCACGGACAAGGCAAGTTGTCAAGATCTTCTCGGGTCCAAGTATGCACTGTGCTGTGCACTTTCCTTTAAATTCTACGGGGAATTCAGACTTCATACAAGCTACAATACAAGTTGCTGGCGGGTGGAAAGGACATATAACTTACATTTTATGAACATTTGTTTTGCTATGTGCAAGAAAAAAAAAAAAAAAAAAAAAAAACATTGCAAAAATATTTTTCATTCTTTAACCTGGAAAATTTGAAATATTTAGCAAGGCGAGCTCTAAGCAGTCCGTCACTTTTTTTTTTTTTTTTTTTTTTTATCAGGCTGACATGTACGTACACCCTAAATCTTTTTTTCAGTTTGCCATCATACCTCAAAGTACATAGTTTTCTTAAGGAAATAATTTTTTGTGGCTCTGTTTCAAGTTACTTACATTGAGATCAAGCCAGTAGCAATATTTCCTGTTGCAGAGTAACAAGGCTGAGCCATTGCTTCACAATTAGCAGCAGCTTTGTCATTCTGACACGTGTACTCCTTTAGTTGGTTGTCAGGCTACCTGTAAGGTCTAAGCCTACCTTCTGCAGAACTGACAGGCAGTGGTCAACTGAAGGATTGGACGTGGCAGGCTGAAAGTGCTGCTGCTAGTAGATAGGCAGAGTCTTAGCACTGTCAGCTTGAAATAGAGAGTGCAGTTACTGACAGGATCACTAGGTAAGCATCTGTTTCAACAGAATCACAAAAATGAATTGCTTAAGAAAACTGCATGATGCCAAACATACTGAAAAATAGATTTAAGGTTTACATACACTAACAGCTTTTCTGAAAACTAAATCCTTTTCACCAAGCTCAACAGTTGAAGATTTGATAAGGCACACAGTTGGAGGAGAGGCCCCCCCCCCTCCTCCCCCAACTATTCTTCCAATGTCCCAGTGAAGCCCTTTAGGCAGCAGAAATGGACTTAAAGTGTTACTAAACCCAGCACCCTGCATTCACTATATCTGGTCTCCCACAGTACACACAACATAGAAGTGCCATTATTTTAGTAAATATGAACTGCTAAATACCTTTTCTCATCAGCAGCTAGAGAAGTCTTGTGACTTCTATCAGTGTTTAGCAGAGCACTGGTTACAGCTTGTAGGAGGAGTTTTCTGCTCTAGGAGGATGCAAAACCCCTGACTTCTAACTAGACAGTGCTGGTCACATGCACTCTCCCAAGAAAAAAAAAAAAAAAAAAAAAAAAAAAAAAAAACTCTCTAGCAATCCACACTAAACTGAGCATGTGCAGAATGGCTATGGGTTCAGTCTGTCTTATCAGGAGAGAAGATGTGGACATTTGAACAAGAGGAGGAGCAGAGAAGTCAGGAACAGCCTTTTACACAATTCAGAGGATTAACCCCTTAGATTCCACAGTGAGTATAACAAGCATGCTTTACTGTCTATACAGACTGATTTTACTGTTGTGGGTTTAGTAACATTTTAAAGCAAACACCTACTTTTTGTGCTTGCTCTCTCTAATCAGAAAGCCCAGAAAGTTGTGAGACACCAGTGTCAGGGGTGTGGTTGAAAAAAATTTCTGAAATTTTAGCTTTCACTTATGCTAAAAAATGAGATATGATGCAGTCTTTAGCCTAGACTGCAACAAAAGGTGTGTACATTTTACTGTCATGTCATATTCAAAGGTTGATTTATGACTTCTTCATAGCTCAACCAGCTGGACAAAATATTTTATCTTACACCAACATCAGCAATAAACTCAACAACATCCTGCAAATCACTCACTTTACGTAAATCCCCTCCAGAGCAGTACTCCATTGCCAAGTGTGGCACAGCATTCACCATGAAGTCCATTTCAGGTGGCACCTCACAAGCTTTAACAACATTAGGATGGTTTAACCTGTGTAGAACAAATTACAATTTTCTTATGAAAAAAGGTAAGAAACAAAGCATTATAAACTGTCAAACTGCTACCGAGTGCTATGAGCAGCTGACATGTGAAATGGTGAAAACCAGTAAACATTTACGGCGCATTTCTGTCCTTTGTAGCTGAAATTATTATTATACAGGATTTATATAGCACCAACAGTTTGCTCAGCGGTGTACATTATAATGGGAGACAGTACATGAGACAGTAAAGTAACAATACAATTCAATATACGAGGGGTTCGAGGGCCCTGCTCCTTGGAGCTTACAATCTAGGAGGGAGGGGATAGTGGTACAGGAGGAAATAGCTGTGGAGGATGGAGTGGTAGGAAGAGTGGAGGAGATAGGCTTCCCTGAAGAGATGGGTTTTCAGAGTGCGCCTAAAGGTGAGGAGAGTAGGTGATAGTCTGATGGATTGGGGTAGGGAGTTCCAGAGGATGGGGGAAGCCCTGGAGACGGGCATGGGAGGAGGAGACCAGGGAACTAGAGAGTAGGAGGTCTTGCGAGGAACGGAGAGTACGTTTTGGGTGGTATTTGGATACCAGATTGGTGATGTAGTTTGGGGCATTATTATGAACAGCTTTGTACGTCAATGTTAGCATTTTGAATTTTATTCTTTGGGCAATCGGAAGCCAGTGGAGGGATTGGCAGAGGAGGGTGGCGGATATGGAGCGGTTAGTAAGGTGGATGAATCTGGCTGCAGTATTCAGGATAGACTGAAGCGGGGATAGCCTGCGGTGAGGTAAGCCGATGAGGAGGGAGTTACAGTAGTCAAGTCATGATATGATAAGGGAGTGAATGAGTTGCTTAGTGGTTTCCAAGGTTAGGAACGGACGTATTTTGGAGATGTTGGAGGAGGTGAAGTCTACATGAGTTTGTTAGCGATTGGACCTGGGGCTGGAAAGACAGATTGGAGTCTAGGATGATACCTAGTACTCTGGCTTGCGGGGTGGGACTGATGGTGGCGTTGTTGGTCGTGAAATCTATATTTAACTACAGTGGGGATCGAAAGTTTGGGCACCCCAGCTAAAAATTTGTATTAATGTACATAAAGAAGCCAAGGAAAAATGGAAAAATCTCCAAAAGGCATCAAATTACAGATTAGACATTCTTATAATATGTCAACAAAAGTTAGATTTTATTTCCATCATTTACACTTTCAAAATAACAGAAAACAAAAAAATGGCGTCTGCAAAAGTTTGGGCACCCTGCAGAATTTATATCATGCACTGCCCCCTTTGCAAAGCTGAGACCTGCCAGTGTCATGGATTGTTCTCAATCATCGTCTGGGAAGACCAGGTTATGTCAATCTCAAAGGTTTTGTTTGCCCAGACTCATCTGACGTTGCCCCATTCAATCACACCATGGATTCTTCTAAGCAGTTTCTAGAAAACTGAATCTTAAAATAGTTGTCACGCTCACAAAGCTGGAGAAGGCTATAAGAAGATAGCAAAGCGTTTTCAGATGTCAATATCCTCTGTTTGGAATGTAATTAAGAAATGGCAGTCATCAGGAACAGTGGAAGTTAAAGCAAGATCAGTGGAAGACCAAGCAAAATATCAGACAGAACAGCTCACAGGATTTGAGAAAAAAGGATCAAAACCCACGTTGTGACTGCACGATCCCTCCAGAAAGATCTGGCAGACACTGGCAGTTGTGGTACACTATTCCACTATAAAGAGATACTTGTACAAATATGGTCTTCATGGAAGAGTCATCAGAAGAAAACCTCTTCTACGTCCTCACCACAAAAATCATGTTTGAACTTTGCAAATGAACATATAGACAAGCCTGATGCATTTTGGAAACAAGTTCTGTGGACCCTTGAGGTTAAAATTGAACTTTTTGGCCGGAATAAGCAAAGGTAATGTTTGGAGAAGAAGGGGCACAGAATTTAAAATGAAAAGAACCTCTGTCCAACTGTTAAGCATGGGGTTGGATCAATCATGCTTTGGGGTTGTGTTGCAGCCAGTGGCACAGGGAACATCTCACGAGTAGAAGGAAAAAATGGATTCAATAAAATTTCAGCAAATTTTGGACGGTAACTTGATGCTCATCTGTGAAAAAGCTGAAGTTAAAGAGAGGATGGCTTCTACAAATGGATAATGATCCTAAACAAACCTCGAAATCCACGGGGGATTACATCAAGAGGCGTAAACTGAAGGTTTTGCCATGGCCTTCACAATCTCCTGACTTCAACATAATTAAAAATCTATGGATAGACCTTAAAAGAGCAGTGCGTGACAGACAGCCCAGAAATCTCAAAGAACTGGAAGACTTTTTGTAAGGAAGAATGGGCAACGATACCTCAAACAAGAATTGAAAGACTCTTGGCTGGCTACAAAAAGCGTTTACAAGCTGTGATACTTGCCAAACGGGGCAGTACAAGATATTAACTCTGCAGGGTGCCCAAACTTTTGCAGATGCCATTTTTTTGTTTTCTGTTATTTTGAAAGTGTAAATGATGAAATAAAATCTAACTTTGTTGACATATAAGAATGTCTAATCTGTAATTTGATGCAAGGTCAGATTTTTCCATCTTTTCTTGGCTTCTTTATGCACATTAATACAAATTTTTAGCTGGGGTGCCCAAACTTTCAATCCCCACTGTATACACAAAGGGAGAATTTTGGACAGGGCTGTATCAACAATTTACAGTTAAAAAAAAATACCAGGGGATTTCAGTAATTGATGATCACTGCTAAAGTTTATGAAAACATTAAATGAGAATGAAAAATAACAGTGGAATTAGAGTTTTTAACATGATCCCATGGCCACAAAAGTTACACAAATTGCATTTTGGTCATCTTGTGTACTGCAGTGCCTGCCACACCTCTGAAAAGCAGTCTCTGGTGGATCATTTTTCAGAGGCATTTGACAGGCAGTGAGGAGGCTATATGTAAAAATATATATATTGCATTCAGTTGCAGAACAGTTGCATGTGGCCCTATTGACTCGTTCCGTGGCAGTGCCGGCTGCTAAATGTGACATGCCATTTTGCCGAGAAGCAAAGTGTCATGGCCCTGGTATAGGTACAGTCCTGAGTGGTTGTATTGTTGTGTTTAAGTGGGAGGTAAAACCGCAACTCAAACGGCTGCTTTTTACTGCCAAACCAGCTGCTGACAAGACCTATGCTTGTAATCACACTGGAAGAAATACCATAAAAAAAAGGTCCAGTTCACTTCTTGTTCATTCATACTTTTTTTTGGCTCAAATATGTGATGGCTACTTTTTGGATTTCCTACCTGAAATAAATTTAAATAAACTCATATCTAGATCGTTCAGCAGAGGTGTGGCACTTCAGTTTACATTTTTGGGCCTGTAAATAGGTAGCTCAAGCACCTAATGTTATATTGCAGGATGTGGAAGGAGGAGGCATCTCCCCTGCTGTAAAGCAAAGAACCTGAATAAGGCGAGAGCTTACACTGTCAGCTAACAATTGCTGCGGTTAGCCTTGTAGTTTTCTTTTAGACACCGACGTGTGTCTTATGGCAGAACCACTTCCAGCTGGCCAAGTTAGTAAACCTTCCTTCAGCTGATTTCCCTTCTGCTAGAAGCTCTAGGTCACTTCAGTGACTATTAATTTATGATAGAAAATTTCCCTTGACTCTGAATAATTTCCCTAGGCCTCAGAATAAATAAACAGATGCGATCAGTGGCCAACAGTTCACTGATCTCAACCATTCATTAAAAAAGTAAAGTTAGTGTAACTAGCAGGGACCTAAAAAATAGCTAGCTCCTATGCTTTTAGAAAATGTATAGTTTGGTGGTTCTTATACAAACCCCGAAAGCTCTAAGTGCGGGGGGGGGGGGGGGGAATTACAAACATGGTCTGGCCTCCTATGGTTAGGTATGGAGAGCAGGGCTTGACTCCAAAAGGGTAAAAAAAAAAAAAAACAAACACACACACAACCCTGTCACCTTACCCATTTAGAGCAAAATGATGGAGTCTTTAAATCCCACTCACTAACCCAGTTCACAGAGCTGACTTGTGTTCTTGCTTGCAGTCCAGCTGTTGTAAAATACCTTGTGCTTCAAGGTATAATAAAGTATGTCATCTCCTCCCTGTGATGCAGTGCTCAGGCATAACAGCCAACCGCTGCAAGACACAGGGGGTTACAGCATCCCTTTTCTGTAGGCTTCAATGTCTAATATTTTGCAGTAGCAGTGTATAAGAAATAGATTGTGAAGGCGTAACTGGCCCAGGAGGGAGGCTAGGTAAAAGGGCCTCTAATCAGGTCTGTAATATGTAATGCTCATTAATTCCAAACAGGAAGATCAAAGTGATTGTAAAGGCTCATGTTGTTTTTACCTTCGTGCATTCTATGCATGAAGGTAAAAAAACCTTGTGTGCAGCAGCCCCAAGCCCCTCACCCAATACATACCTGAGCCCAACTTGATCCAGCTATGTGCACAAGAGCCTCGGCTGTCCCAGGTCTCTCCCTCCTCATTAACTAAGACAGCAATCATAGACAGTGAGCCAATGAGGAGAAGGAGGAGGGGGGGATGGGGGCAGAGCAGCATCTGTTTGTAAATGGACACAGAAAGCAGCAGCAAGTTGCTTGCTGTGGGGGGCACGTGGCAGGACAGTGGGGCCAAAAAAGCTGGCAGGGGACCAGAGAACAGAAGGACTGAACCTGCTCCGTGCAAAGCCACTGCACAGAGCAGGTATGACATTAAAAAAAAAAAAAAATCTGCCTTTACAGTCACTTTAAATATGTGATAGCAGAAGTGACTTTTAGGTGCTCAGTAGTAACACTGTCTAAGTACTAAACTGGAAAAAGAAAATCAGTTTATTTATTGAATAATCTAATAGAAGTTGAATAACTCCATTTACAGTTATGTGAGGTGCAGCTAAAATTAACCATATAGTAAAAAAAATATATATAATAAATAGAGACCTTTTCATTATCTGTATCTCCTGACACCATCTCTCCTTGTTCTTCAGACTGAGCTCCAGGCGACATGATTTTATTGCTTTCAACTCCCCAGTTTCCTGTAAATCAATTACGAAAATTATACATTTGAGTGATGTTGCTTTTTATTAAAACACGCGCTGTTAACCATTCAGTGATTACACTCAATGTTTTCAAAGGAATTTCCCGTTTTAGTAAATTTCCCCAAATGCTTCTCCCGCTCTCTAGGATGTCTTCAGACCCAGAACTTCTCGGTTTTGCTAAAGCTAGAAACATCAATTTTCAGATTGTATCATCAGAGAGTGCCCTGAATGTTATTAGTTTTCCATATTGCAAAAGAGGATCTCCTCTATTCATAAGGGCCAGTCTGTTTCAGCCTCTTTGTTGTGGAATATTTCACAACTTCCTGAAGGCAAAAATGACAAATTTCATTAAGTAATCCATTTAAAAAGAACATTCTAATATTTAAATATATAAAAAACTAGTCTCTGTTCGCAAGCTAAAAAAGCAGGATAAGGATCCTTGTGTCAACAATGACAGTCACAAGGTTGAAAATAAAGAGCTTTATCCCTGCAATAAAGCTTTGTGAACACATAAATTGTTACTATAATGTTGATTTATGATCTGTGCCCGCACATTGCCAGAAATCTATGACTGGTGGTTGAGAACCTTAGCATGACACAATTACAGAAGAGACACTTTGGGTGAGATTTACTAAAACTGGAGTACACAGAATCTGGTGTAGCTGTGCATTTTAACCAATCAGCCTTTTACTTTAGCTTGTGTAATTACGCTTTGACAAAAAAATCCTAAAAGATGATTGGTCATTATACATAGCTGCACCAGATTCTGTGTGCACCAGTTTTACTAAAAAAAGAAAAGAGGGCGCACGGGCCTAGTGCATTACCTGTGGTCCAAAACCCCTGAAGGTCGTCTGGTGGGGGACTGTAGACCACTACATAGCTGGTGGCTGATGCGTTTCGAGGCTGTACCTCTTCCTTAGAAGACTGGCTCTGAGGAAGAGGTACAATCTTAAAAACGCGTCAACCACCAGCTATCTAGAGGTCTACAGTTCCCCACCAGACCACCTTCGGGGTTTTGGACCACACTGATCCCTTGTGACATGCTTTCCATTTGATTTTATTTCTTGAGTATTTTTCTTTTTATAAATAAATCTAATTTTTAAAAAGGTAATGCACTAGACCCGTGCGCCCTCTTTTTGTTTCCTATATACAGTTCTCTTTGGATTTCTCTGGTTCATTGAGGGCAGCAAGGCTTGCATTCCATTCCTACTCATGTGGGGATATTGACATTGTGGAATCCACTGTCCAGCGTAGGAGCATATACATTCAGTTGCTTTCTTCTTTTTTACTAAATCTCCTCGTGTCTTGTTTCTAGACGTGTTCAATGTCACTGTCCACAGAAAAGAAAAACAAAATGTACACAGGAATCCCTACAAAGCTAACAGGTACATATTACAGAGGTATCCTGGATACACAAATAAACAAGACTGCAGCAATTTTGTTAACGAGAACCTAGAGTGGCAATGTCTGGAGGCCGCCAATGATGACTCCCCCTCTGAAAATGCTAGTTTTCTGGCTATCATACTGATCCAAAGGCTTTAACACAGCAGTTTCAATAACTCAGACTCAGTGTTCCAGCTATACTAGTCCCTGGCATCTGGATGGTACAGCCATGGTGGTGGTTTTGTGGAACCTGAAAAGAGAAGGGAAGAGTTTGGCCTAGTTCACACCATACGTGCAAAAAACGCTGACGTGCAGATTTCACTTGTACAGATCAGTTTCCATGCACGCTTCAATGAATTTTATACACGTTGCAGATTCCGGCGCAAAAAAACATTCACGTTATACTAGTGTTGTGGTATGAACAGGGCACATAGAGAACAATTGATTTCTTTACACCCTTGCAGAACGTGTGCAGAAAAGCTGATGTCACTGAACCATGGTGAGATCCAGTCCTTACACTTTCTAAGATTTTGTTTCTGTTTGTGACTCTGTCGAGAGGATTTCCCTCCCCTCTCATATGTCCCTGTTTTTCCCATAAAGGATGTTGGGGAAGGAGGTGCAAATTATCACTCGGACAGGAAGGTACAGACATTACTGACCCATATGTTATTTCCCTCACTAGCCTGACCTTTTATATGTCACCTGCCTCCTGACCCATAATATGTTGCCATCCTCTCTACCTTGACCCATGATATGTCAGCTCTCTCCTATCACCTCAATCCTACTGCGACTTGTGATATGTTACCTCCCTCCATTCATTCCCTGACCTGGGATATGTCACCTCTCAACCCCAATACTGACCCAGGATATGTCATTTCCCTTTCCTGATCTGTGACATGTCTCTGTACACCCTGACCCAGGAATGCGTCGCCTCCCCCCACCCGACCCGGGATACGTCGCCACTCCGACCCGGGATACGTCGCCCCTCCTCTCCCCCCCGACCCGGGATACGTCGCCTCTCCCCCCCACCCGGGATACGTCGCCTCTCTCCCCCCCGACCCAGGATACGTCGCCTCTCCCCCCCCGACCCGGGATACGTCGCCTCTCTCCCCCCCCCCCCCCCCCCGAACCCGGATACGTCGCCTCCTCCCCCCCCCGACCCGGGATACGTCGCCTCTCTCCCCCCCCCCCCCGACCCGGGATACGTCGCCTCTCCCCCCCCCGACCCGGGATACGTCGCCTCTCTCTACGTCGCCTCTCTCTCCCCCGACCCGGGATACGTCGCCTCTCTCTCTCTCTCCCGGGATACCCTCCCCCGACCCGGGATACGTCGCCTCTCTCTCCCCCCCCGACCCGGGATACGTCGCCTCTCTCTCCCCCCCGACCCGGGATACGTCGCCTCTCTCTCCCCCCCGACCCGGGATACGTCGCCTCTCTCTCCCGGGATACGTCGCCCTCCCCCCCCCGACCCGGGATACGTCGCCTCTCTCTCCCCCCCCCCCGGGATACGTCGCCTCTCTCCCCCCCCCCCGACCCGGGATACGTCGCCTCTCTCCCCCCCGACCCGGGATATGTCGCGCCTCTCCCCCCCCGACCCGGGATACGTCGCCTCTCTCTCCCCCCCCGACCCGGGATACGTCGCCTCTCTCTCTCCCCCCCCCGACCCGGGATACGTCGCCTCTCTCTCTCTCTCCCCCCCCGACCTACGTCGCCTCTCTCTCCCCCCCCCCGACCCGGGATACGTCGCCTCTCTCTCTCCCCCCCCCGACCCGGGATACGTCGCCCTCTCTCTCCCCCCCCGACCCGGGATACGTCGCCTCTCTCTCTCCCCCCCGACCCGGGATACGTCGCCTCTCTCTCCCCCCCCCCGACCCGGGATACGTCGCCTCTCTCTCTCTCCCCCCCCGACCCGGGATACGTCGCCTCTCTCTCTCTCTCCCCCCCGACCCGGGATACGTCGCCTCTCTCTCTCTCTCTCCCCCCCCCCCGACCCGGGATACGTCGCCTCTCTCTCTCCCCCCCCCCCCGACCCGGGATACGTCGCCTCTCTCTCTCTCCCCCCCCGACCCGGGATACGTCGCCTCTCTCTCTCCCCCCCCCCCGACCCGGGATACGTCGCCTCTCTCTCTCGCCTCTCTCCCCCCCCCCCCCCGACCCGGGATACGTCGCCTCTCTCTCTCCCCCCCCCCGACCCGGGATACGTCGCCTCTCTCTCTCTCCCCCCCCGACCCGGGATACGTCGCCTCTCTCTCTCTCCCCCCCGACCCGGGATACGTCGCCTCTCTCTCTCCCCCCCAGCCCGGGATACGTCGCCTCTCTCTCTCCCCCCCGACCCGGGATACGTCGCCTCTCTCTCTCCCCCCCCCCCCGACCCGGGATACGTCGCCTCTCTCTCTCCCCCCCCCCCGACCGGGATACGTCGCCTCTCTCTCTCCCCCCCCCCGACTCGGGATACGTCGCCTCTCTCTCCCCCCCCCGACCCGGGATACGTACGTCGCCTCTCTCTCCCCCCCCCGACCCGGGATACGTCGCCTCTCTCTCTCCCCCCCCGACCCGGGATACGTCGCCTCTCTCTCTCCCCCCGACCCGGGATACGTCGCCTCTCTCTCCCCCCCCCGACCCGGGATACGTCGCCCCTCTCTCCCCCCCCCGACCCGGGATACGTCGCCTCTCTCTCTCTCCCCCCCCCGACCCGGGATACGTCGCCTCTCTCTCCCCCCCCCGACCCGGGATACGTCTCCTCTCTCTCCCCTGACCTGGGATACACCACCTCCTTACCACCCTATCCTTCTCAGTTATTTAGTACTCTGTACATAAACATCAGGAAATGTATTTCCATGCATTCACTTCATCTAATAGTACCCAAGTCCTGGGATAAGTAGAGAAGCCCCGGCTCCATGGCTGAGACTCTCCTGCAAAGTTAGCACTCAGCCCTCCCCGACCCCTGACACACACAGACAGATAGAGATATATACACATACATACCTTGTTCTGGAAGAGGCAGACATTGCCAAAGCCTCCAGTGCCCAGCCTGTCCTTCATCTCCCACGGCCCGCACACCACTCCCTGCTGTATCGGTGGCTTATCCATGATATACCGAGAATATCAACTTCCGGGACTTCCGCCTCCACTGGACCCCTTTCCGGTCACCTGTTAGCTCACCTACCCTCCCACTACAGACTTAGGGAAGCTGCAAACCCCCATTGGCTGTAGTCGTGTCACGTGCGTTTCTGCTGCGTATCAAGACTCGTTCTCAGCCACTCATTCTTTTCCGGGAAGCTCCACCTATGGAAAGCGAGTGGTGTTCTTGACGTAGTAGACATAGGATTGCCGAGGGAGAAGGACGGAGAATGGCGAGCTGGGGGTGTGTACCTCGGTGTGTTGTGTGTGCTTGGTGCTGTCTGTCAGTATGGAGGTGGTGGGGTGTTGTGGGGGAGGGGTTGTGCTTCTCCTTTAGGGAGAGCTCCTCAGAAGGAAGGCGAAATGGGTGCTGTGCCAGTCATTGTCTGGGGGCCCTCTCTGGGGTTTTGTTTGGGTCAGGTCATGTCTCCATGGTCTGCTGACCAGTCCAGGACCTCAGTACCTCCCCAGCAGCTTTAGTGGTCTACACTGATGGGTCTCATGGTGTTTCTGTGGTAACAGAAGATGGCAGAGGAGACATGGAGGGGGTTGTCTTGTATACACAGTGATGAAACAATGGCAGATGCCTAGTAGACTGCCACTGGTGTCCACTCCACATACCAAGCACATGTACTTGCACTAAAAGAAAAAGTGAATTCTTTTAGAAGAGGCCTACCCTTACCTCTGAAGAAGATAAAATGATTGAAATGTTGGGCGCGCTCCAATCTCCCCACAGCAACATTATTCAATAACCTGGATTCTCTTCCTGAGCTTTGCTCTAGGCTCAAAGGAATTGTGGCCATCGATGGTGTCAATGGGAGGAATAGTGCTCCATGGTTGGCATGAGTGGGAGGAATAGTGCTCCATGGTTGGCGTCAGTGGGAGGAATAGTGCTCCATGGTTGGCGTCAGTGGGAGGAATAGTGCCCCATCGTTGGCGTCAGTGGGAGGAATAGTGCTCCATGGTTGGCGTCAGTGGGAGGAATAGTGCTCCATGGTTGGCGTCAGTGGGAGGAATAGTGCTCCATCGTTGGCGTCAGTGGGAGGAATAGTGCCCCATCGTTGGCGTCGGTGGGAGGAATAGTGCTCCATGGTTGGCGTCGGTGGGAGGAATAGTGCTCCATGGTTGGCGTCAGTGGGAGGAATAGTGCCCCATCGTTGGCGTCAGTGGGAGGAATAGTGCTCCATGGTTGGCGTCAGTGGGAGGATAGTGCCCCATCGTTGGCGTCAGTGGGAGGAATAGTGCTCCATGGTTGGCGTCAGTGGGAGGAATAGTGCTCCATGGTTGGCGTCAGTGGGAGGAATAGTGCTCCATCGTTGGCGTCAGTGGGAGGAATAGTGCCCCATCGTTGGCGTCAGTGGGAGGAATAGTGCTCCATGGTTGGCGTCAGTGGGAGGAATAGTGCTCCATGGTTGGCGTCGGTGGGAGGAATAGTGCTCCATGGTTGGCGTCAGTGGGAGGAATAGTGCCCCATCGTTGGCGTCAGTGGGAGGAATAGTGCTCCATGGTTGGCGTCAGTGGGAGGAATAGTGGCCCATCGTTGACGTCAGTGGGAGGAATAGTGGCCCATCGTTGGCGTCAGTGGGAGGAATAGTGGCCCATCGTTGGCGTCAGTGGGAGGAATAGTGGCCCATCGTTGGCGTCAGTGGGAGGAATAGTGGCCCATCGTTGGCGTCAGTGGGAGGAATAGTGCCCCATCGTTGGCGTCAGTGGGAGGAATAGTGCCCCATCGTTGGCGTCAGTGGGAGGAATAGTGGCTTTTCATTGGTGTCAGTGGGAGGAACAGTGCCCCAGCACTGGTGGCCGTGAGGGGAATTGTGCTCTACTGCTGGTGTCAGTGGAATGAATAGTATCCAGCTGCTGGTGTCAGTGGAAGGAAGTGTGCCCTATCATTTGTTTTTGGAAGGAATTGTATTGTAGGTGTCAGTGAGAGAAATAGTGCCACATCTTTGGTGTCATTAGGAGGAATAGTGCTCCATTGTTAGTGATATTGGGTGGAATTGTACACTATCATTCGTATAAATGGGAGGATTTGTGCTCCATTGTTGGTGTCAATGGCAGGAATGATGTCCCAATGTTGGAGTCAGTGGATGGAATAGTGCCCCAAGGGCCGGATAAAAGCAAGCAAAGGGCCACAGTTTGGAGACCACTGCTCTAGGCCATTCAAACGGTGGACAGGCAAAGGTCTCTCCTGTATAGGACACTGTCCTCGACCCTAGGGGGATATGGCCTGTCACCTATTTTGTACAACAGCTCGAGCTTCCTGACGTTGAGTGATACCACCTGCAGCAAAGTCTCCATTTCTCTGCTCCCTGCAGTGGAATACTGCTGACATTACCACACGGACAACTTTTGGAAACCCTTAACTTTGTGGTGAAGCTCAGAAGGGGGCATCTCAGGACTGTATAAATTGTTTGTCAGTACTTCCCGTAAACTCCCATACATGTTGGCTTGGGAACGGGGTATAGGAGCAGAGGTAGACATGGAGGACTGGTCTATTAGAACTCACAAAAGTCCCAAGCAGAGCCAGGCTGTAAGGTACTCTCTTGTTGGTACCTTGTTTCTGAACACACAAAATGTACCTTGGATCCTCCTTTGAGGATGTGGGTAGGTGGGAACAATGTACCATGTGTGGTGGACTTGCCCTAAGGTCAGACAGATCTGGATTTGGGTTCATAAACTGGGTTATCGTCATTAGAACCTCTAGATTCTAGTATGGGCTTTTTTTTTTGCCTAGGTGGATGCAGCATCCGTCCCACACTGGCTCTAAGGGTGAGAACTCATTGAACACGACTTCATGTCTCTGAGCAGAGAGTGGAGACTGTCAGTCACCGCTGTCTGCTCTATTCCCAGCGACGGGCTCACTGGATCACTAGGCTGTGGAGGGGGAGGGAACGGTTGGCTCAAGCACTCAGCGCCTCACTGAGAGGCTGAGCCAGGTGCCACTCCAGACTCTGGGGTGGATCCCGACTTTAACCACTTCCAGTCCGGACAATTTTACCCCCTTCCTGTCCAGGCCAATTTTCAGCTTTCAGTGCTATCACATTTTGAATGACAATTGCACGGTCATGCAACACTGTACCTATATGAATTGTTTAGCATTTTTTTGAGACAGATAAAGCTTTATTTTGGTGGTATTTATTCACCGCTGGGATTTTAATTTTTTTTTTGCTATGTAAATTAAAAAGTCCAAAAATGTTGAAAAAAAGTGTTTTTTCTTATAAAATTTTGCAAATAAATAGTATTTCATCATAAATCTTGGCCAACATTTATTCCGTTATATTTTTAGTAAAAAAAAAATAACCCAAATTAGTTTATAGCCAAAAATTATTTTTAAACTTTTTTTTTTACATTTTTAATTTTATTAGATATTTTTTTTTTTTACATACGGTCACCCTAGCAGTACCAGTGTCACCATGGTGACACTGTACTACTTGTGGGGGGTGATGAAGATTTTTTTTTTTTTCTCATTGATTGCTTTTACACCCATAAAGGAATTTAAAAGTAATCGTTTCTCCTTCTGCATTCTTGCAGCCATTGAGAACTACTGAGTGAGCTGTGATTGGTCACAGCTTGTCACATGGTCCAAGGCTGTTGTGAATAGCCTTGTACCATGTGACCTCTGTGATCATTCACAGATTTCACACGTAGTAAGCAATGATGTCAGAAGTGACATCTTGCTTACTACTTTGCATGTGATTACTGATTGGCCAATCAGTGATCACATGATCGGGACCTCGTACAGAGGTCCTGTCCAACGATCGGTGTTCCACTGTGTCCGGAGGACACAGCGGGCACCGGATCGCGGTGCTGTGCGCTCCCAGGGAGCGTGCACAAGCAGGGTGCGGGGAGGCCGTTTATAAACGGCCACCCGACCCTGCACTGCCACCGTATATAAACGGCCGGACGGGAGGTGGTTGAACTCGGGATCCTTCCCCAGCCTGGACCGGCTGAGTGACACTTCAGCTCACTGTCAGCTGAAAACAGGTCACAGGAATGCAGAACGAACTGCACTCCTGTGATCCACAGGAGAAGCACAGCCAAAAAGAGCTCTGGCTGTACTTCTCCTTTAAGGAACCCATAGAAGGGGTTTCCAGATCTACTCAGACTATGTTCCTAGCGGCTACAATCATCATTGTGACCACTTGGAAGAGCCCAGTAGTAGATCTAACGCTGATGAAATGTAAATGTGTATGGATAATGATCAACAAAAACATAGTTGGCATACTACGTGACACCTCTACAAGGTTTCAGCGGATTTGGAACCCGTGGATTGGCTATGTACAATCCTCTTCCTAAATTATTTTTAGCTGTGGTGGGTGGGTTTGGCATTTGGATGGACTGTACTTCTTTCCTGGCTCCCCCCCCCCCCCCCATGCTTTTCCTTTTTTCTTTTATTCTTTTTCCTCATTTCCTTTTTATGGAACGATTCTTTAATATGCAAACATGGTTGTATTGTAATGTGCCTGTTTTTGTATTTTGTTTTTTTTTCTTGTGTAAAGCCATGTGTTTATGAAGTATAAATGAAGGAAACCTTTTTTTACTTTTTAAAGATAAGAAAATGCGTTGCTTTAAAGTCCCATTGGAGAGATATAAGGATTATTTACAACATTGAAGGGTTGTTGGCAACCTTGATTACTGTCTGAGCCTCTTTGTATGTAAGAGTCTAAAACCATTTAGGAACCTTACTATTGCAGCTGCATTCACACTTGAGTGATTTGTAGCTTGAAGCTCCACACTCCAAAAAGGCTCAAACTTAAACAAAAATCAAATCAATTGTTCTCTATGGTGCCTGTTCACACCTGATCTCAGGAATGAGCATCATAGAGAACAATAGATTTTTAAAGCTTGAGCCTTTTTGGAGCTTCAGGCTAGAAATCGCTCAAGTGTTAGCCTTAGTGGCTGTATACATTGCTGCTTCCACATCACTATGATATTACCTCACCATATGATTTTTTGACATTTTCAGC